TTCATACTTATTCAACCCCCCTTCTAAGTATTATCTCACCTTCAAAAAGTTCCTACGGGTTTAGGGTAGTTGATTGATTGAGTTTAGGAGAAAAGACGAGTTATCATTTTAAGAGAGATTTAACCTCCACAAGTGTAAGAGATTGTATTATTGTGGGGTGGAGATTCTATCTCGCTTAAGATGATGAACATCTATTTCTCTATTGTGTTTGAATATTTGTATAAGTTGATTGTTTATTCTAAGTTGTAAAAATAAAGGTCCTTCCTATGGGGTAGGATCTAAACTTAGAAGATTGACTTGAATGGGATCAAGGATCAAAGGGTATTATGATGCAAATGTAGATGCATACGCGCAAGTTTCACGTTACACGCAGATTCTTCCTTTGGACGAAATGCAATGCGATTCCTGTAAAATAAATTGAGATGATAAAGGGCGGATAAATAAAACCATACATACGCATGAAAGCGCTAAGGTGCAAGTGTGATCTTGTGAATATGTTGCTGTGGAAGCGAAGACGGAGAGAGGTGTAAGCGTGCTCGATTGATTTTAAGCGATGTTGATTGATTTTAAGCAGATTGATTTAATTTTTAAGGAGAGACTGAGTTGATTTTTTATGAGATTGATTTTAGAAAAAGGTGGGATCATTAGATCAAATTAAAGTTTAGCATAATTTTCTTAAGAAAAGTTAATTTTAAATTAGGTGAATTAGATTAGTTTTAGCAAAAGTTTTTGTTATAAATAATTAAGCTCGAATTAGTAAGTTTAAAATAAATGTTCTATTGAATAAAGGGTTAATTATCAATGAAGAATAAAACTACTTATAAAATAAATTGGTTATTAAAATAAGTTGTCATTTTATTATTAAGGATATTTTAAATAAAATAAGAAAAATTAATATCTTTTAAAAGAGGGATAGGTTTTCTTTATTGAATAAAAAGTTGGTTATAAGAAATTTAAATTATAAACTAGGTTAATTAACATTATTATAAAAGGGTCGTTGTTATTATAAAAAATACTCATTATTTTAGATAGTTGATAAATAAATAATGTTTTAAAAAAAAGAAAATTAAAATAGATAAGTTAAAAGTTGATTAATTAAAGAAAAAAGGTAATTTAAATAAAAGGATTATCAGATTATTTATTAAAGGTGGCTGATTTTAAAAAAAAGAATTTAATTATTAATTAGCTTATATTTAAAAAAAAGATTGATTAAGGTGTTGATTAATAGATTAATTAATTAATAAAATAAAAATAAGTGATGATTAGGTTAATTAAAACAAATTATGGTTAATTAATTGGACGGGTGATCGTGTGGTGTGAGGCTCGTGGAGGTCCACGGTGGGCTGCAAGTGAGGGACGCGTGATTAGATCTGTTGGTGGATGGTTGGTTATCGCGTGCAGGTGTACGGTATGGTGTGTGTGTGCACATACAGGTGATTACAATATAAAACAAAAGCTGAAAAACCTAATTCCCTCATCTCCTTCGAGTTTTTCAACTCTCGTCACCCTCTCTCCTCTCATCCCCTCTTCTCCTCCATTCTTCTTCTCTCGTTTCATCTTCATCTATTTTACTCCTTTTCCGTTGTTCTTCTTCCTCGTGCGCCATTTCTCCATTTCTCTCTCGATTGTCTTTATTTCTATTCCTCGTCGTTTTCCTTTTTCTGCTTCACCTGTATAAAACAAAATTAATCAAAATTATTAATGTTAGCAACAGGGAATCTCACGGTTCTTGGATTGCAGGTGGATTTGCGGTCAATGACGGTTTTGCGGTGACTTCGGGAAGGATGGTGGGTTTCGACAGAAAATTCGCGAGCTTGCGAAGGGGGCTTCCGACGAAGATTTGAAGAGAGATAAGTCCTTATTTTCTTCCAATTTACCAGTCTTAGGGTTTTTGAAGGGATTTGATTTGGGGATTTTGGATTTGTGGATTTTGGGGTTTTTCTCTGTGAACTGTTGATGTATTTCTCTGTGTGTATTCTCTTCATTTTTTCTGTGTTGATGAATGCGAGGGTTTTATAGGCGAGAGGGGCTGATTCACATTGAAGTGCAGATTCGTTGTTTGTTCGATGTTGGAAACGAAAGTTATTGATATGGTTAATGTATTACCATCTTAATCGGAGCATGTTGGTTGTGGTTTTAAGGAGTTTCCCTTTCGGTTCAACCTGTCGTGTACATTTTAGGAGATTTTCGACAGTTAATCCATGTTTTGGACAGGCCATAAATGCTTTTCATTTTTTGCTTGATTGTGTCCGAGACAATCTTCAATAACAGGATAAACATGCCTGTCTTATTTGGAATGAATCAATCATGGTTGATCCTATGATTTCCTTCTATGTATGATACTACCACCATTTTTTATCACTTAAAATCAATACTCCTTGTCGCAGGTATCACGGGAATTGCAGGCAAGATGAACTCTCAAGGTCCGCTCGCCGTATCAAGTTTTGAGAGCTCAGCTTGCTATTGTTGATTATTTATCGGGTGAGCTTGTTTCATCATGTACTTGTATTGATACTATTGAAAAAAACTGGTGAAAGCAACTTGTCTGCTTGTAACCAAAGCCATGGGAATGCCTTATTGTTGCTGTGCTTTGTAAAAAGACTGTGATAACTGACAACCGTTTTCCTTTGATCTGCCCTGTAGGTAGCCTGATGGGAAAAGCAAGTGTAGTAGAAGATTATGGTACGAGTTGAATTGGTCTTTATCTTGCACTTCCAACTGGTTATGCAAAGAGATAGTGATTGGTGATGGTGCTTCGTAGAAGTGTTGTTGCCCGGAAGCTCTTGCATCTGGTTAAGTAACGCTTGCTGCTGTGATACATGCATTTCATTCATTCCTTTAATATGATGAAAGTCATAAGATTTAATTATATCGTGTATAATACTTATAATGAGGCAAATCCTTTGCAAACAACAAAATTGGACGAATCTCAACATAGCCGGGAGCTTGGGCATTTAGATTTTGTAGAGATCATGCTTCATGAATTCCTTTAAAGTGCTCCTTACCAAGACTTGGTTCAATATCTCATGCAAACTTGACATCTCAAAACCAAATGATCATAAACCACCATTAAGAACGTCCTCATTTTCTCTTTGAAAATAATGACACCACGTCCCGAGCGATCCTTTGGAAAAGGGGTGCAACTCGAAATTCTACTTGCCACAACCATGATCAGTTCTTCAAATGACTATGTTTAACTCCAAAGAAATTCATACTTCTCTCTTGGAGTAGGTGTTGAAGATTTTAAGAGATGCTGAAGAAAATCAATAGAAAACCCCGTAATCAATCTGAAACAGGCTCAATTGTCCATGTCTTGGAGTATTTAAATTGGGAGAATGAGTATTATCTCTATCTGAAATTTTTTATCTACACGAATTGGTTAGTCGCAAAAGCATAAATATTAAATTAAAGTCAAAACAACAAAAAAAAACACGCAAAAAAAGAGGTGGGATCTTATGGTCAAAAATTAGGGTGCGACACTTCGGCCTCACTAAAGTATCATAAAGAATACTTTTCCACTCAACAACCAGTTCCTCTTTTTTAATGTAGCCATAAACCTTGCTAATAGAGAATCTCTCCTTCATGGAATTCCAGTTATTCATTCTGCATATTAACTCTCTCTGCTTGAGGACATACTTCAAAATCTAGGACATGTTATTGGTTACCTGACTTGTTCTTGTCACTCAACGAGATGATGTTGAGGCCTTCATTACTCTTAGGATTACACACTTTCTTCCAGGAAATAGGAGATTTCTTGGACTTCTGCTCATTTCCCGACCATATAAAAGTCCTGCAAACAGGTTCAACGGGGTGTATCACCTTCTTTGGGAATGGGAGGCAACACATCTAGTACGTTGTCATAGACACAACAATACTATTGATCAGTTGGAGCCTACCAGTATAGCTTAGCAGCTTCGAACTCCAGTGCCGGATACGACTCACAATACGATCAACCAAACTCATATACTGACTCACTTGAAGCTTTTTTGTAGTAAGAAGAATTCCGATATATCTAAAGGGAAGCTCTCCCTCCACAAAATTAGTAACAACTTGTATCTCATTTTTGACGTCATTCGACACCCCACCAAGATAAGCTCTACACTTCAATAGATTAATAACTAAACCAGTGGAGTTGGAGAAAAGATTCATTTGATTCATCACCAGCTCAACAAACTTACAATCCTGTCGAGCAAACAGAAGAACATCATCAGCAAAGTTGATGTTGATGATTTTGTGCCTCTCCATTTAGCATGGAAGTTGAAGTTAGGATTGTTGTTCAGCTTACGCATCACTCTGTGAAAGTATTCCATAACAAGCACAAAGAGGACGGGAGAAACCGGGTCCCCTTGTCTAAGGCCCATATTGGCCTTCATACTCTTGGTGATTTTGCCTCCAATTTTAAACTTGTACGACACAGTTGAAACAACAAGCATAATCTAATTAGTGAACTTGTGAGGAAATCCCGACTCCTTTAAGATACACTCTAGAGGAACCAGTCAATGGTATCATAGGCCTTCTGGATGTCTAATTGGAGTATACATCTAGGAGTTCCTCCTTTCCTAATATACCCACGAGTAAGCTCATAAGCTAAAAGAATGTGGTCATGTATGTTCTGCCTAAGAATGAAAATTGCCTGGCTCTGGTCGATAATACTAGTGAGGACCAAGCTCAGCCTACTAGTCAGAATTTTAGAGATGATTTTATACAGAGTGGTAAATCAATATTTTGGTCTAAAATCTTTAACATACTTACCATCATTTCCTTTGGGGGATCAGAGAAACAAGAGTACAGTTTACAACATGATATATATTGAAATTGTTGAAAAACTCCATAACTACAACAATGGTATCATCCTTTATAATATTCCAAGTAGACTTAAATAAATTTTCCCCAAATCCATCGACATCAGGTGCTTTCAGGTCATCAATGTCTTTAAAGGCTTTTTGGATCTCAGCAACAGTAACAAGATTCTCCAACATACTCCTTTGATCAACAGAGAGTTAAGGACCATCTCTCATGGCCACTAGATCAATTCCCTCAAGCTTGCTGTTAACACTTCCTATTAGATTGCCATAGAATCTAAGCACCTCATTCTCAATATCCTCAGGCCTGTCAAGAATTGTACCATCATCCTGATAAATGGAGAACATGCCACTTTGGTTTTGTCTAACTTTTAGTTGAGCATGAAAATACCTGTTATTACCATCACCCAACTTCAGCCAATTAATCTTGGACCTTTGTCTAATAACTTGTTCCTCTATCTCACTCCACTTGAAAACCTTTTCAGTTCTCTCCTTAACCAACTTAATTAGCTCAGTATTATCCAAGTCATCCTTAAGCTTGTTTTGGACTTCCAGCAGATTCATCCTGGCCTGCTTAAGATAATGAGAAACATCCATCAGAGGCTTACTAAGCTTATTTACAACACTTTGAACTCTAATAAGCTTCCTCCACATCACATACACAGGGTTACCCCTTATAGGAGCATGCCAATTGTTAGAAATCTCTTCCTGAAACCCATCCATATTCACAACATTATTAAGGAATTTGAATTGGTATGTTTTCCTACACTGATTATCCTGATTCTCAAGGTAAAGCAAAGCATGATCAGAAATGCCAAGAGCTAAAATTCTAAGAGTCAAGTTTATATAATTGTGGTACCAATTTGTGTTAGCCATACCATGATCAATTCCAGAGTATATGATATTGTCACTGTGCTTGTTGGACCAAGTATACTAGTCACCAACCGTGTCCATACTACTCAGATTAGTTCTTTGCATCATATCAGCCAAGTCCTTATATTTATTACTATTATTTTTATTACTTAAATTTAATTTAACTAACTAGTCATATTATTTTTATTACTATTATTGTTGTTGTTTTTGTTGTTGTTATTATTATTATTATTTAATTTTATTTTATTTGAATATCAACATTTTACTCTACAATATAATTGTTAGAACACAGATTGATTCTTAATAATATCTCTTTGTTTTGATGATAACTGTTAGGAAATTTTGTATTTAAGAATTATATACTCTAAAATTTGCTTGAGAGTTTTACTGCAGATTGTAATGAAATTAACACTCCAGAAGCAAATCTGAATTGTATACAAAAAGTTATCTTAACTCTGAAGCGCCAGATGCACTCATTAGAAGATTCTGACTGCTGCTTACAGAAGTTCCTGAAGCGTAGCCTCCAGAAGGATCTGAAGCAAGTAGCTCCAGAAGAATCTGAAGCAAGAAGCTCCAGAAGATTCTGAAGCAGAAGCATCTGAAGCTAGTCAGAAGCATCTGAAGCTAAGAAGAATATTGTATGAAGAGTTTCTCAAAGCATAGTTTCTACAGAAGTTTCTGAAAGTACTAAAGCTGCCAAATACTAAAGTTTTGTGTCAAATATGCTCTGATGATCAACACACTGAAAGCACACATGCTGCAGAAGACTCTGATACAACAAAGTTCTGAACATCATTAGAAGACTCTGACTCAATCAAATTTTGATGAACTTGCTGAAAACTGAAGAAGAATTATTCAAACATTATATCCGTTGGAGTTAGTCAAACGTCTCTTTCCTCATTTGTGCTAGACACAAGAACACAGACAAAAAGGATTTTTATGTGCCTTCTACTTCTAGGAAAGGTCACTTGATGTAAAGACAAAAAGGGTCAGACCTTTTTGAGACACTCTTTTCAACGCTCATCTCTCCTTGGATCAGCTGCCTATAAAAGGAAGACTCCATCAAATTCTTCAGTGAGACAATTTGCTGAAAAGAAATTATAATATTCAAAGCTCTCATTCTTTCATATTCTTCTTAGAATTATTTGTACTTAAACTTAAGAGAAAAATCACTGTTGTGATCAAAGCTTTTTAGAAGCATTCATACTCTTGTATTTAATTTACATTGATTGTAAAGGTTTTCCTTAAGAGGATTCAGTTAGAATCAGTAGCTCTTGAGAAGACTAAGAACAGTTGTTCTTAGGTGTTACTATTGTAATCTGTTTGATTAAATAGTGGATTAAGTCCTTGTTGAGAAAGGCAAATCACTCTAGGAAGGGTGGACTGGAGTAGTTGAGTTCAACGAACCAGGATAAAAATAATTGTGTTTCTATTTCTAAGTTTTAATCTTTCATACTTATTCAACCCCCCTTCTAAGTATTATCTCACCTTCAGTTGGCATCAGAGCTCCGGTTCTGTGTGTGCTATCACTTAACAGTGTCAATAAAGATCCAGAGAGAAATACTTTGATATATATTTATTTGTTACAATGGCTGATAATACAATATCCAATATTAACAATAAATATGAAGAAAGGGACAGGATCAACACCAAACCCCCTATGTTTGATGGGGAGAAATTTGATTTCTGGAAAGACAGAATTGAGAGTTTTTTCCTAGGATATGATGCTGATCTATGGGATCTAGTCATAGATGGATATGTCCATCCCACAGATGGGAATGGCAAGAAGATAGACAGAAAATCTATGACAGATGCTCAGAAGAAAGATTTTAGAAATCATCACAAAGCCAGGACTATATTATTGAATGCAATTTCCCATACTGAGTATGAAAAAATTACAAACAGGGAAACTGCTTTTGATATGTTTGAATCCCTAAAAATGACTCATGAGGGAAATTCTCAAGTCAAGGAGACAAAAGCTCTGGCTCTGATCCAGAAGTATGAGGCCTTCAAGATGGAAGACTCTGAATCTGTTGAAGCCATGTTCTCCAGATTTCAGATCCTCACAGCTGGGCTAAAGGTTCTGGACAAGGGATACTCTACATCAGATCATGTAAAGAAAATCATCAGAAGTCTACCTACCAGATGGAGACCTATGGTGACTGCCTTGAAGATGGCTAAAGATCTGAACAAGATCTCATTAGAAGAGCTCATCAGCTCACTAAGGAGCCATGATATTGAGCTTGAGGAAGATGAACCTCAGAAGAAAGAAAAAGGTAAATTTGTTGCCTTAAAATCTAACAAATCTGCTAAAGCTTTGCAGGTTATTGAAGAAAGCTCTGAAGAATCTTCTTCTGAAGAAGAAGATGAATTATCCATGCTGTCCAGAAGGATCAACAAACTCTGGAAGCACAAGGGAAAGAAATTCAACAACTTTAGAAGATCTGATAACAGAAAGGAATCTTCTGGGCACAGAAGATCTGGCAAGAAAGAAGTTGTGTGCTATGAGTGCAAAGAACCTGGGCATTACAAGAATGATTGCCCAAAACTTCAAAAAGAAAAACCCAAGAAGAAGTTTAACAAAAGGAAGAAGGTTCTGATGGCAACATGGGATGACTCAGATGAATCTGAATCATCTTCTGAATCAGAAGAAGAATGTGCTAATGTTGCACTGATGGCCAACACAGAAGATCAAGAGGAAGGAACCTCAGGATATGAATCAGACTCTGAATCTGATGATGATGCTGAAGAGGTAATGGCTAAACTTACTAAAGAAGAACTGATAAAGGTTTTATCAGAAGTTCTGAAAAGTTACAACAATATCAAACTCAAATACAAGAAGCTGAAAAGCAATCTTGAATCTGAGATTGATCTTCTGAAGACAGAACTTGTTGAGCAAAAAGAAATTAATCTGAAAATCAAAAATGACTGTGAAACAACTCAACAAGAATCTGAATCTGAAACTAAGTCATGTGAAAGCATTTTAGAAAAATATGACTCTAGTTTTCAGAAATTCCTTACTAAGAGCATAGACAGAAGCAAGATGGCTTCTATGATCTATGGTGTTAGTGGAAACAACAGAAGAGGTATTGGATATGAATCTTCATCTGGAAGAAATCCAAAATCTGTTGACAAACTTTCCATCAAGAAAACACCTCTGTACTCTCAATTTAAGTTTGGTCACTTAAATGACATTAAACACACAAGCTCTGAGAAGAATACTTATGTGTTTAAACCCAAGGTTAGTCAGAATAAACATTATGTTGAAAAACAGAAGTTTAGACAAACCTCCAGAACCACTAACCCTAAAGGACCCAAGAAGATCTGGGTACCTAAAAGTAAAATAATTCCTGTTGCAGATATTCTTAGCAGCAAGGTCAGGACACCAATCATGGTACCTGGACTCTGGGTGCTCATGACACATGACAGGAGAAAAGTCTATGTTCCAAAGCCTGGAACTTAGATCTGGAGGTGATGTGAAGTTTGGAGGGAACCAGAAGGGCAAGATCATTGGCTCTGGCACTATTGGAAATGGTAAACTTCCCTCTATTACTAATGTTTTACTTGTTGAAGGGTTAAAGCATAACTTATTGTCCATAAGTCAATTAAGTGACAATGGTTATGATATTACCTTTAATCAAAAATGTTGTAAAGCTATTAGTCAAAAGGATGGCTCTATCCTATTTAGTGGTAAGAGGAAAAACAACATTTATAAAATAAATCTTTCAGAACTTAAAGTTCAAAATGTTAAATGCCTCTTATCTGTTAATGAAGAGAAATGGGTCTGGCACAGAAGATTGGGCCATATTAATATGAGACGTATATCTCAAATTAATAAACTTAATCTTGTCAGAGGACTCCCTAATCTGAAGTTCACTTCAGATGCTCTTTGTGAAGCATGCCAAAAAGGGAAGTTTTCAAAAACATCTTTTAAATCAAAAAATGTTGTTTCTACTTCCAAACCACTAGAACTACTTCATATTGATCTGTTTGGACCAGTGAAAACTGCATCCATCAGAGGCAAGAAGTATGGATTAGTCATTGTTGATGACTATAGTAGATGGACATGGGTAAAGTTCTTAAAACACAAGGATGAGTCACATTCTGTGTTCTTTGACTTCTGCAAGCAAGTCCAGAATGAAAAGGATTTCAAAATTATAAAAGTCAGAAGTGATCATGGTGGTGAATTTGAAAATAAATATTTTGAAAAATACTTTTCTGAAAATGGCATTGCTCATGATTTTTCTTGTCCTAGAACTCCACAACAAAATGGGGTTGTAGAAAGGAAAAACAGAACTCTGCAAGAAATAGCCAGAACCATGATCAATGAGACAAATCTGGCAAAACACTTTTGGGTAGAAGCAATCAACACAGCCTATTACATTCAGAACAGAGTGTCTGTAAGACCTCTTCTGAAGAAGACTCCTTATGAACTGTGGAAGAACAAAAAGCCCAACATTTCATATTTTCATCCTTTTGGATGTATTTGCTTTATGTTAAACACTAAGGAAAATCTGAACAAGTTTGATTCCAAAGCACAGAAGTGTTTCATGCTTGGATATTCTGAACGCTCCAAAGGCTACAGAGTATACAACACTAAGACACAGATTGTGGAAGAATCTATTCATGTCAGATTTAATGATAAGCTTGGCTCTGAAAAGTCAAAGCAATCTGATAACTCTGCAGATAGGGAAGTAGTCTTCATTGACTCTGAAGTTCTAGAAGCAGACAAAATTCAAGTGAAGGAACCAGAAGCAATGCCAGATGCTATTCCTTTAACCTCTCAGATGAATAATCTAAACATTTCTGAAGAGTCAACTATTAGAGGATCATCATCCAGAATTAAAGCTTCTCATCCAGAGGATGTCATTATTGGAAAGAAGGATGATCCCATCAGAACAAGATCCTTTCTAAGATCAACTGAAGCATCATTATTTGGACTAGTGTCAGAAATCGAACCATCTTCTGTAGATGAAGCTCTGCAAGACAATGATTGGATTATT